GTCTGCGAACATTGGTGTTGGATACATGTGCTGGATGATTTTGTGTCACGTAGACTGGTAAGATTGNGACGGTCGTCGACCTCTCGTGAAGTTAATACATCACCAAAACAGTCCCACGCGATAAATATGTGGCGTAGGCCGCAATCACTCTAGANGAGAGATAGTGGGCAAGGACCACGGTCGCTGCTGGAAGGCGGCTGGGCCAGCAGATCGGGAGCGAACCCTGTTGGACCAGCCGGAGTGGGCCCGGGCATAGGACCGGACTACGGGGAAGCGAGGGGGTTAAACCCCCCAGGTGAGATACCCGTGATTCGAGGAAATGGAGAATACCTCGACGGCTACAGCAGTAGCCACCAGAAAAGAGTGACGGTCAATGCCCCGCTTCTAGACGAAAAAAGCCGTAGCCACGGATTTGACTCGTGGCGCAAATCGTTCAACCAAGCTAAAAAAAAAATCGCCAAAAGAAAGCAAAAATTTGCTCTCAATACTTCTATGCCACCGTAAATAGTGGTTAGACCATTGACCACGGGCGGAGGGAGGGAGGGAGAGAGAAAGATGTCGCTGATGCTGTTGCTTCTGTTGTTGTCTTCGCGTTCCTTGTCGTTCTCGTCTTCGTTGTTGACTTTTTTTTGTCGTTCAGCATTCCTTATAGGACCTCTCTTGTGATCTGAAACCGGACACATTAGTAGATCCGCCCCTTCCTCGGGGAAAGTCGCCGTAGGTAGGACAAGCAACAACCCGAACACGGGACTGTTAGGCCCTCCCCTCGCCCCTATCCTACAACTCGCCCCCGTCCCCGCCCCTGCGGAACAGGCGACGGTCAAGTTTCTCTCACCACACGTCCGTGAGCGTCTGGACGGTGGTGATGGCGACCAGCAGCATGCGGATGCTGTGCCTCTCCGAGTAGTCGCGGTCCTCGCTCCAAGACCAACCAAGACCTATCCACAGCCAAAGCCCCACCAGTAGATCGAAGATCTTGACGTAGCCGCAGAGCATTATGTAGTCCCACTCAAGAATGACCTATCAATCGAGGGGTGGGGGGCGAGTTTGTAGCAAGGGGTTCGAAGTGAGACCACTTCTCAGACAGGAAGCGAGAGAGCAGGTCGCCTTGCAAGTCCCGCCCTGTTGGTAGATTTTAGGCCCTAGTTTCCAGGTGGAGGGGGGGTACATGGGTTCGACCTAGGTCATACCGGTAGTCCCACGCCATTATCTATGTTTGGGAAACGGGGAGCAGAAAGGCCAGGAGTACTTGTACCGCAGTTAAATATAATAAACTAGTACTATCCACGTCTCTTGTGTGACACGCTCCACGTTTTGCCACGTGATCGCAGACCGGTACCGTAATGCCGAGTCTAGCTCAGCAGCCTAGGGCACCCTCCCCGAGTTTCCGACTGTTTTCGACAACCATACCAAGGACACACCTCCACCTAATCGCTGTATCGCGACCATATCTTACTGTTCTATTGCCCTACTCTTGGCGTGGAACAACCGCGGTTTATCGCGATGCTTGTTAGTGCAGTCGTACGCTACCGGTCAACAAGCCTCTTACCGCTGCGCGCACCACATAAAAACCTTGTTTCTTACTCGAGGTTTGTGTCGTTTTTCTCTGTAGCGTAACTCAAAAACCAAGCATAGTATTACTTACTGGGCACCTATTTTTACGGTTAATCTTTTGTATTTGTCTGTTAGGTGGGACTTGATCTTCATTCCTAACTCCCAGCTTTTTAAGAGGCGACAGACAGTCAAGCTTCACAATGGGGGGGCGGGGGGGGGGGCACTTCAACCAACCTTAGGGTACGTGACCCCATGTCGTGCTCGGCGGCGCTCCTCTCTGGCCTGATGCCACCCTTGGAAGCACGCCAGACACCCGAACACGTTCAGGCAGAGCGCCAGATCCATGTTGCGGAAGAGCGCTGCCGACACCAGCAGCTCCGTCAGGCTCTGTTTTTGTTGATATCGAGAGAGAAGGCAGAAACCGAGGGACGGATGTCGAGAGAAAGTGAAGAGGTGGAGAGAGAGATATGTATCGAGGGGACAAGTTGTTAAAACACCAAACAATGAACAGGAAAAATGAGGACATTCCTTGTTTGTTCTCCCCTTGTTTGTTCTCCGCTGGCTTCACGCATGTTGTTTAGTGCGTGGCGTTTATGTTTGTCGAAGTTCTTCGCCTCAGCCCCCACCGATACCGAGCTTTTGCAGTTGGTCAGAGTTTGACCATGTGCCTTCAAAAATCGTTGAGCACTCCGGCACACGCCATGTCGGGGGAACGTACCACCGACACGAGGCTTGAAGTTGCTTCCACACCACCACCGTGCTCGAAGGTATTGTTGTTGTTGTTGTTGTCTTCACGTGCGAACGTCATGTATCGTATTATTGCGGCTTTTTTCAAGGGCTGTAACCCCCGCCAATACTACTACTATCCGCGAAGGTGGGCCGGGAAAAGAAGGATTTCCAAACCTCCGTGGGCAAACCAACTCGTTTTGGCTAGCCGCCCAAGCTTCACCCGCGTGTTCTATGACCCCCCCTCCCCCCCGAAGTGAAGATAGCTACATAGTGAAACCTCACAGATGGATTGGTTTTTGAGTTTGCCAGACACTTAAGACGCGCTGCGTGGGGATAGCTACATACTGAAACCTCACCAGTTGAGTGATGTTGGATAGTGCCGGACACATAGACGTTTTGAGTAAGGATGGCTGCATATTGAGACCTAACGGGGTGAGTGACGTTTGCGACTGCCGGACACATAGACGCGCTGCGTGAGGATAGCTACATACTGAAACCTCACGAGTTGAGTGATGTTGGATAGTGCCGGACACATAGACGTTTTGAGTAAGGATGGCTGCATATTGAAACCTAACGGGGTGAGTGACGTTTACGACTGCCGGACACATAGACGCGCTGCGTGAGGATAGCTACATACTGAAACCTCACGAGTTGAGTGATGTTGGATAGTGCCGGACACATAGACGCTTTGAGTGAGGATAGCTGCATATTGAGACCTCGCAGGTGATTCGTTTTGGAGATTGCCGGACACCTAGATGTGTTGAATGAGGACAGCTGCATACTGAAACCTCACAGATGGACCGATTTTTGAGTTTGCCAGACGCATAGACGCGCTGCGTGAGGATAGCTACATACTGAAACCTCACGAGTTGAGTGATGTTGGATAGTGCCGGACACATAGACGCTTTGAGTGAGGATAGACACATACTGAAACCTCACAGGGGAAATTGCATTGGAGATTGCCGGACACATAGACGTGTTGAGTGAGGATAGCTACATACTGAAACCTCACAGATGGATTGTTTTTCGAGTTTGCAAGACACATAGCACACTGCGTGGGGATAGCTACATACTGAAACCTCACGGGTTGAGTGATGTTGGATAGTGCCGGACACATAGACGCTTTGAGTGAGGATAGACACATACTGAAACCTCACAGGGGAAATTGCATTGGAGATTGCCGGACACATAGACGTGTTGAGTGAGGATAGCTACATACTGAAACCTCACAGATGGATTGTTTTTCGAGTTTGCAAGACACATAGCACAGTTGAGTGGGGATAGCTGCATACTGAAACCTCACAGATGGATTGGTTTTTGAGTTTGCCAGACACATAGACGCGCTGAGTGGGGATAGCTGCATATTGAAACCTCACAGATGGATTGGTTTTTGAGTTTGCCAGACACATAGACGCGCTGAGTGGGGATAGCTACATACTGAAACCTCACGAGTTGAGTGATGTTGGATAGTGCCGGACACATAGACGCTTTGAGTGAGGAAAGACACATACTGAAACCTCACAGGTGATTTGTATTGGAGATTGCCGGACACATAGACGTGTTGAGTGAGGATAGCTGCATACTGAAACCTCACAGATGGATTGGTTTTTGAGTTTTCCAGACACATAGACGCGCTGCGTGGGGATAGCTGCATACTGGAACCTCACGGGTTGAGTGATGTTGGATAGTGCCAGACACATTGAGGCTTTGAGTGAGAATAGCTGGATATTGAGACCTAACGGGTTGAGTGACGTTTGCGACTGCCGGACATATAGACGCTTTGAGTGAGGATAGCTGCATATTGAGACCTCACGGGCTGAATTTGTATTGGAGATTGCTGGACACATAGACGCGTTGAG